TAAAACTGTGACTCCCCCCTCCAGTGAGGACTCATGGGACTTTATTAGTAAGTGAAAACTAAGTCTGCTGCAGTGAATTCATTTAAGTCATTTCCATTATCTTTGCTTGCCATTCTCCACAAAAACACCTGTTATGTTTGCTAACTTAAAGATCTGTGTGTCTCTTGTGTCTTTTATTACAGAAAGAGGCTTGCAAATAACTGGGTATGTACTGGGTGCACTTGTACTTCTGTTGGTGGTCGGGATAGCTGTCATCTGTTCTCAGAAGAAAAAGAAAAAGAACAAACCTAAAGGTACAAAACTTCCCTTTCCTCAACTCATCACTGCAATGACCCATCGGGCAATATACTTATTCACTTTCTTGCCGAAAATGTGATGAGAAGATTGAGACCACTCTACAAACTTGCCAGTGATATAAATGTTTTAGTCCATTTCTCAGTAAGAGAGTACCTCCCAAAATGTCAACTTGTTGTTAACAATCCGCTGTACAAACAGACCGTGGTGGAGTAAGTATTCAGATCCTTTAGTTTTAATACTACACAGGAAAAAATAAAACTCTTGTTACTTAAATGTTACTTAAAAGTATGTTAGAATAATCTGGAAAATGTACTTAATAAAGTATTAAAGGTAAAAGTACTCAATACAGAAAAATGTATGTTATACTGTTATACCAATAGATTATTATGCATGAATGTAAAAGCAGGATTTTATTGTTGTAGTTGATTGAATGAAGTAGTAGAAAGTAGAAGTAGAAAGAGTCCAGTAAAGTACAAGTACCTGAAATTTGTACTTAAGTACAGTACTTGAGTACTGAGTATATCTCAGCATTAAATATATATATTTGTGCCACTCTTTCCTTTCACTCTGCAGAAGAAGATGACCAGGAATTGACCTATGGTGATATCAAGATCATGCAGCGACCGGGGAGGCAGGTGCAGCAAAGAGCAGGGCCGGAGGTGGAGTACTGCGCAGTCATGTTTTCAGAGCGACCTCGACAGTCTGTTCGACCAGCAGAAGATGAGTGTGTGTACTCCAGTGTCTGTAAAGGAAGGTGATTCACAGAGTTTAAAGACTGCACCACTGAAGGCAGATGGAGGAGATGGCTGTCAAGAGGCCAAAAGGCTTTTCACCTTCATGTGACTTCCAGTTGGAAAATATCTCATATCGCTCATAGATTTTTCCATTTTTCTAGCACTTTCACTGTTGTCTGCTACAATTTTTTCTTCAGAAAATATGTTTTAAAATATTCCATATTACAGTATTACATTACATTTCCCTGTAATATAATTCTCTTTAGATTATATTGTACCTACTTTTTACTTGTTTCTAAGTTTTGAGCATATTTACCTTCATTTTATCGTTAAAACAATGTAAACTTGCAATAATGTATGAATTTGAAAAACAACAATGTATGTCATTGTATTACTCACCTAATGTCAAAGTTTGCATTTACTGCAATTGAAATGTATTCATGAAACAGATGTGGATGGACTAGTTGGGGGTCGGAGTGTAATCATGCATATGTAGTGTGGATTCATTAAACGTTTGGTGCTGTGTAACGTCAAATTAGACCGTGTGATCTTCCTTTGGTTTTCTTGCCATAAGTTAGGTTTATAGAGTAATGTCTGTCACATATTTGTTTCCATCACACACACACACACACACACACACACACACACACACACACATATGTAAAATACACTTAAAATACACGCATATAATATACTGTATATGTTTGTGTATTTACAGCCATTTATGTGCCATGGGCAAAATATACATATATATATGTATTTGATATGTATTTGTATTTTAGCTGTTGCTGTGCATTTAATCAAAGACAGAGGTTAGGTTTCATGATTGATTTGGTTTGATAGCTTGAGGTTAAAAGTTGACAGCCATGGACTTCCAATTCAGATGATTCACAGAGCAATACAATTGGTGTTTATGGTTCACGATAGTTATATTGTCCTTAAACAACCACCTGAGATCATTTTTTTTAGTTCAACCCTCTCACTGGAACACAGTTGAACTTCTGACCGATATACTCTGGTGAGCAAATGATTGACAACACAGGAGTGTTATAAAGGTGCTCCAATGATCCAGAATCATTTTGCTGCTTTGTTCAAAACAATAATTGTGTGGGTACCAAAATGTCCAGTATTGTTGCAGCTGTTAGCCTTTTAATATGTGTATACCATAGGAAATCCAAAGAGATGCAACTGTTGCACCATAACTCTTTATAGGTTTGGTTGGACCACAATTAAACATTTATTTTTTTTCCTCATAAAAACCAGGTGATTTAGTCATTGTCATGACACATTCATGTGATGCTACCCATCCATGCCAAATTTATCTAATTATAAAACCAAGACTGGTGGCTAGCGCCAGCTCTTCAATCCTGAGCATGTCAGTTTTTGTTTTTGATTAAAGATATCAGGTGACTTATGATTTTATACTTAGAGAATTTTTTTGATTCAAAATTGTTGAATATTGTTTCACTATTTATTCATAATTTGTACAGTATTTGTACAGTACAGCTATTTACTGTGGCACAGTGTGAATGTAATTTAAAGGTTTCTGTGAAAACCATTCTGTAATGTGGCCTATATTAATGTATGATTCAATATAAATTCATGGTCCAAAACGTAAGTCTTCTCAGGTCATGATTTCATGAATTATATGTCTGTATTAAGTAATTTTGGGGACAGGCAAGGCTCACTTCCTCATTGGCGGCATGATCTTATCAAGAAGCTTTTTTCTGTTGAAATGTTTCAGACGATTGAAAGCAGATGCTCAGTGCTAATGAAAAGAAAATACAAACCTGATCGATAAACTTATACTGTATGTGCATGCTTTATATTTTATCTGCAGCACAACCAACATCAACTTGAAAACAGGGGAATTCTTTCCCTGCACACATTGATTTAGAAATACATGATGAGTTGCACAAAGTTGGTGGCACAGTGGTTTATTTTGAAAAGAACGTTTTTGCAATCCTCAGACAACTCTGTCAGGACAAAATTTACATTTCTACATTTTGCCACTTTTCCTTCCTCTTCTTTAAAATCACACAGAAACAGGAACAATGTGAACGTGTGTTAACATGTACAATGGAGTTCATACGTTAACATTTCATACAAACTGTATGTCCCAAAAGACTGGATACGCAGTGACATTTTTGATTTAAAGTTCTCCGACGAGGCTGAATGTCTGCATTTAACGGTACAATGTCGGTGGACCATGAGTCATGTAGGAGCTGTTTTTGAGGATGTGGCTAAACACAGCTATCTGTGTGTGATATTCCACAGCCATTTTTAAACATGCTCTCAGTTCCGTGCTGTTACCACTATGTTATAGCAAAAAAATTCAAAAATTCAAAATGGTAAGTGTTTTAACTAAATGTTTTTTTATGTCATATCATACACCTGTTCACTGCCAAATTATGACATTTGTGTTTTCATATCAAGATCAAGCTGCTTTTATTTCTTTAAAAAACAAAACATTTCTGTTCATTCACCATTTCCATTACACCAAACACAGCTGCCATCCTCCCTCACTAAAACCCAATAGTTTGTACTTTTGAATGAACTATTCTCATGGTAAATTAAGTTGTTTTCCCTTCTGTCCTTCGCAGTAAGAACTGTAATACTCTCTCCTCTCTCTCGATTTCCTGTAAATTCAAATTCTAAAAAACAGATGTATTACCATCATCGTACTTCCTCTTTTTATTTCTTGACTATAGATGGACAAATGCATTGCCACTTTTATCCAGCAAGGTTTCAGACAAATTTCGACATCCTGTCTAAGTTAAAGAAAGAAGAACTTGTGAAATGTTTTTTTCAGTGTGGCTTTAACCAAAAGAAGACACTCAAGTTTCACAAGTGACACGCTATCCAGTGATTCTTTGTCCTTAAAATCAGTAACTTGGTGATGAAAATGATCCATATAAACATGCTGAAGTCCTGTGATTGGCAAATGCCCACCAGAGATGATCAATGCAACAGACATGTTTAGTGCTTGTAATTGTGAAAGCAGGAGGTGCAACATTATAACATCATGTTGATGGGAATCATCTTCATTCATAGTGTGGAAAAGTTATAAAAACAAAAATAAAGCTATGTACATATTTCCCTCTGTATCAGTCTCTAGTATTCCTCTGGTATCGTGTCAGACAAAATGTTGTCGCTGGGGCTGGTGGTGATGTGGGTGTCAGCGGGTCCACCCAGCGCAGGTGGGGTGGGTGTTGTTGTGGAGGCCTGCTGAGAATGCTGCAGCTTCTTGCGGTTTATCTTCCTCTCTTTGGCACGTCGGTTCTGAAACCAAATCTTCACCTGAGATATCAATGTCAGAAACATATTTATTAAGTGTGTGCTCCAATATGATGGTTATAAGGTATGATCAGAAATAGCAGTGATGCATTATCTGTTCTGTGTTTGCTTTCCTTTGACCCTTTGCCTGTAATTACATGTGTTATCTTCAGTTGACAATTTTCTATCGCCCTTCCCCACCTACTTCTGCTTAAGTTTAGTAATTTCCTTCGTTCCCAGAATGACTTTGTTGCACTCTAACTGTGGACTCGACAAGCAGAGTGAGTAGGCGGGAAATAACAATAATAACAACAATAGCATCATGAGAGCGAGAATGAGGGATTCTCCATTAACACTACTTGTACAAGACGTTTTGGTGGCCACATAACATTATAGTTTACAGAGGTTTCTGCTGTTTGTTCTAAAGCGGACAATAAGAAAAATACAGCACCAAACAACTGCATGGGCCAAAGGTACTGCATCACTGTGTTATTAGCAATTACAATTTTTCTATTTTCTTATATCACTAACATATCAACAATGTAAATTACATGAAGACAATTCAGCCTACTCCTTTCATAACTCTCACTCCTCACCACTTTCACCTGCTCAAGTCACAAAAACATACAAAGAAGAAACAAGAGGGGTCAACCAAAATAAGCGAGTGGCTGTCTTTACCTTGCACAGCAGCAGGATTCTTGCGATGTGCCAGATTACTTAACTTTACATAACTTTTGAAAGAAGAACTAGGACATTTTATTTCTCTTATAAATTAAGAGTTGTTTTTATAATCGATAAAACACACACATTTCTGTACCCTCTGAAGTTTTGGTGCCACAGCCTTACTGTCTGGTACGACCTCTAGCTTTTGATGCAATTACAAATAGCCTGTAATTGCAATTTGTGGCCACAGTGGCTGATGTTCAGCAAGAGTTACATGGTTGAATAAAGGAAATCTTAACTCGAGTTAGCTTTTACTGGAGCTTTAAGCTGCTTCTCACAGTATTGCTCAGTTGTTGGAGGTTGCAGGATGACCATCACAATGTGTCACAGGAGGCATTTGCTGCCCATGAGCCTAATTATTAGTTTGTGGATCTCACCTGTTGTCCTCATGCTACATTACAGACCTTTATAGTTAATGACCCTCTTTAACAATGTTAAAGAGTCTGGGGTTGATTTTTATTTTACATTCGCTTCTGCTTTTTTCATTAATGCCCCTTTGTTTCTAACCTGTTCTCTCCACCCCTTACCTTTCTAGGTCTAACCTTAATTTGCTCCAGTCTCACCTGTCTCTCAGAGAGGCTAAGTGCCGTTGACAGCTCGGTTTTCCTCCTCATGGTGATGTATCGGTTGCATTGAAACTCCTTCTCCAGCTCCAGGCGTTGCTGGTCAGTGTACACCACCCTGTACTTGTCCTTAGTACGCGTCTTTGTTCCTGAATCACACAAAATAAACCTGATTTAGTAAAACAACTAATACCAGTTTGGATGATTGGCTGACTTAGTGAATGTAAGTAAATAGGTGTGTTAAACATGATTATAATGCCAGTGAGTCACGTGCAGTGTGAGCCGTGTCCAAACAGATGACTAATTTGAAGACGTCTGGTGCCACGTTCAAGTTCAGGCGCCACTTAAAGCCTCATTAACTCTATTAATCACGCTAACTACAACTAATGTAAAGACTCCCCTCTGCATTGCATCAGTGGTTCTCATTATCACTGTGAGTGGTGTTTACATAGGTGTTTACACAGGCAGCTATTCATTGACACACACACACACACACACACACACACACACACACACACACACACACACACACACACACACACACACACACACACACACACTGGCTAGTCAGAGTTATTGATCTGAAATCTTGACCATGTGACAGCATCGATTGAGGCAGACCAACACACACGCACACAGACACACACACACACACACACACACAGACATGAGTAAGGGACGAGGGTTCGCCTTAAGAGGATATTCGGTTTGACATATTCGGCAGACTTCCTGTAGTGCCTGTGTTATCTCGCCAGGTTGTCACCCTTTTGCACCCACCCAGTGGACAGAGAGGGTGGGGAATGACATTTTTGCAGACTTCTCAGCCGCCACTGTTAGCTTTGCATTGACATCTCAAACCATGCTGGTGGAAGGGAGAGGCGAAAAGCTTGATGAATGTGTGTGTGCAGTCAGTATGACTTTACTCTGTGTATATGTTGAAATCGTATCATATCTGTAATCTGTCCACACCCACTCATCCCCCAGAGTTCAGCTTGTTATCATCATGTGACTGTGTTATCAAGAAGACACTTTTCCTCTTAAGATTAATTTATCAGCAAATTAAAACATCCAATTTGTGATCTGCCCCAAGATAGATCAGAACATGCGTGTTAAAACAACTTCAGAGAACTTTTTATCAGAGGCCACTGCACCATGCAGCCTACAATAAGCCTACAGTGACCTCTATGGCTGTCTCCAGTATGAAGTCTTAAGTCCCACCTGAGAAGGACGGTCTGATGGGTTCATACGGTCTCCTCCTGGAGCTGAAGGTGTCCTGTCCGGAGATGAAGTTGTACGGCCCTCCAGCGGCGTTAGGCATGACGCTCAGCTCCGGGGAGGAGAAGCTGAGCTGCCCGGCGTTGGGGCTTGACCCCTGGAAGCTGTACGGGTACTCCTCCCGGGGAGCGTAGACGGAGTTCCAGGCACTTGTCGACGGGTCACCGACTCCCGGGACATGATGATAACTGGTGAAGTCATACGGAGGTGGAAAGTACTGACTGTTCAGTGACAGTATCTGAGCCGGGTGTTGGGCCGACTGTGAGTTTGGGTACATACCGGTGTCCTCGTCCGTCAGGTGGGGTAAATCTCGGGTAGACCTCAGGGAATCAAACTACCTGGAGCATGTTAGGCCTCCTTGTTTATTCCCAGCATGCGCTGGCGCTCTGTTTTCACTTCAGTCTAACGTTCGGCTACCTGTGCAGTAAGACTACACACACCTTTATAGATTTACTGCTGAGGAGTTCAAAAGTATCAACATGACGTCACGTTCAGCCTGAGACCCACCTGCCTGCTCGTCTTGGCGACGTGAGGGCATTGACCCCGATATCCCGAGTCTAACCTGGTGGATCATTTTTGATAAGGCCATCATGCAAGGTGTGGGTAAAGCGTGTGCACACGTGCGCGCACCTACGAACGCACGTAGACGTGAAGGTGTCATGTGATATCCAGTACAGAGATTGTAAATCAAGATGAAAGTTGGCTCAGTGGTGGTAGAAGCTTATCAGACGTTGAACCACCATGTGAAACATAGTCACAATCTCACCAAAGTATAACAACATGAGTATTAGTAGCAATAAGAAATGTAAAAGTATTCTTTAGGCAGGTCAGTGGGGCAGTAGCCAGGATTTAAATACTGAGTTCATGAGTCCAAATTGCCACACTTATGCAAAAAAATATGTATTATTTCACATAACTTTTAAATTCTATATAAATAGAACATTAAGGTTTGAATGCTTCCTTCTACACTGTCAGGTACAAACAGTAATTCATACATATAATACGTATTTACAAAACCGAAACCAGCTTTAACAAATCCAACAGGTGCATTTGTGTAATAGTAGAGTATAAACTCATTTTGATCACATGTAGCCTCCTTGCCCTCGGTAGTAGCTCTATGTCTACCATAAACTTGAAACAACTTTAAACAGCCCCATGAGGGCAGCAAAATACTGAAAATTGCCAAGTAACTTACCAGGTCTGAAGTCCTGCAGATACACAAACATGCAGTATACATATGATCCTTATTTTCCACATTTAGTTGAAGATATCATGGCATAAAGTATATTGTGTATTCCACATGTTGAGCTGTCTGTGGGTCCTTCTATATCTTGGTCAGAGGAGTCAATATAAGCTGTAACAGATATCAGCTGTTCCATGAAGCAGGCGCATGTTAATGGGGAGAAAAGTGCAACATCAGACACATATCGCAAAAAGCTTGAAATAAAATAGATCATAGCCAACTTGGCTATAAACCAAAGAAACGTGGTTTTATCACTTACAGAATAAACATTAGAGCGTGTGTTGATGTACAAACTGGACTGGTTTTAAGTGACCCCAAAACTTCACTCAGAGGAGGTTTAGTTTAAATGTGAAGCACTTAAGATCTTTTCAGGCCGTATGGATCTTTAATATTTATCTAAGTGACGGGTTACTGTAGGGAATGAAACATGTATATAGATCCAGTTTAAACAGTGGAGCATAAACAATGTTCCCACTGGTCTCTTTGTAGTCGTCCTGACGCTGAAGTGCATTGAGAACTAATAGGAGGCTTGTAGCCTCTTTTCACCAATTCTAAAAGTGTTAAAATGAGAGGTACTGTAGGTACGCAGACACACCCAGAGCTTTCATCTTCCACAGTAAGCTTCCTCTGAGACCTATTACAGCCCAAATAAAGCCTGCAAACAGTACTTGTCAAGTGCTGAAAACACCTACAGCATGTCTTTAAGACTGTGCTTCACAGTGACAGAGAAACATTGAAAACTGGAGAATGATTTTGAATGCTGTACAAGAATCACCATCATCATTTATCATGATCAACTAAACAACCGAATGAAGTGACCAGTCAACAAGCGGCCAATACAAGTTGATTAGCTTACTAAGTATCACATCTCACCACCACAGTTTCAGTATATTTGACTATAGAGTATCAAATACTGCCTCATTAACCATAAAACAGCATACAAACTTTGGTTTTAGTAACGACTGGTGCAAGACTGCATCAGGTTACTGTTGTTGATGAACAAAAACATCATACATTTCTAGTGAATCTTTTAAAAAAGATAGAGAAAAGGATTCAAGTTGAATCATATTCTGTTTAGTCTGAATGTAACCCGACCACTCAGATGATAGACTGAGAATTAAAGTAGCACATGTACTTAACTAGTGCTTCGGCCCCCTTTTTTCTCTTTTTTGAAAGTAAGTATTTCTTTCCTGCATTTCATTAGACGGTATGCAGTAGAGAGCTGACAGGAAATGAGAGTCAAAGAGAGGAATGACATGCAACAAAGGTCCTGAGCCACACGTTGTGATCACATGCTCAGTGTCTCACACACAAAGGTCACCAGGACGTCTTTAGTTTCTCTAATTTCTCCTGCTGGACTTTTAATCGCTCTCATGATGTTCTGTATGTAATTGAGTTAAACAAAATCTAAGGAAATAGTACAAATACACATCACAATTTATCTATAATTTAAGTCTAAAATGATGTCCTTTCTTGTCTGACAACAGTCAAAACCCCAACGTTAGTCAGTTTGTTCTTACATTAGACAAAGACAAGTAACAAAGCATCACATTGAAGAAAAACAAGGGAATGATATTTTTGCTTTTAAAATTACAATTATCAAAATAGTTGCCAATTCATTTTCTATTCTATTGGCTGGTCATTAGCTTATTAAACTAATTGTTTAAGCTCTAAATTGAGTTTCTCCTGTCTTGCTGCTAGACATTTTCTTTGAGAGGCGATATCTTGAAATGTGATGATGGTGATGATTGTTGTTGCTGCTCTTGTTGTTGTTGTGTATTAGAAACATCCCAGTGTTTTCTGATTTTCAGTTCTGGGCCTGAACAACATCTGAATCAAGTCTTTAAGGGCCTCTGACTACTACTATATATCCGTGCAATTTAGTATAGATCTGACTACAGATCAGTCATTGAATGACTTCATCCATCTTCATCGATCAGAGCTGTATTGGGTTCAGCTCAAGGTCTCCTCAGCCCCAGTGTTTCCTGCTTCTAACCCCCCCCCTACCTCTTTTACCCAGAAACTGTTTACATACTACATACACCTAATAGTATCTGCCTGACTGCCTGCACTTTTCCTTGCCCCATTCCTGCTATTCCTGCTGTTTTTGTACATGACAATAAGCTTATATGTTTGGTCACCAAATCCCTGTTGCTATCTACCTGCATTGCCACCTTTTGGGTCCTTCCCCATGGTGCTCCGCTCACAGCTGCTTGACAGGTATCACTAGTTGAACTCCAGTGATGGAAACAACCCAGATTAACAGTGAGAGAAACCATTCTTTAGCTGCTCTGATAGTCTGAATAGGCTGGGTATTGTTGTAGCAGAATTATTTAGAGTCTAGTTTATCGTGTGGTTTGTGACTTTGTCAAGCTGCATGAATAAACAAGCACAGCTGCCAAATGTAAGGCCTTTGCCACCCCAGTGTGTTCTCTTTCTCCACCAACCACTGCATTGGACAACATATTGTGCAATTATAGAAAATAGAAAAAATGCCACATTAGACATATATCTTTCTTGGTGCTCTTAAAAATGTAGAGATGTAGTGTCTCCTGTAACAGCTGCAGGATGTTTAGACAGAGAGTGTGTCTTACCTCAAGCTGATAAAGGATTGTGATCATTGCCTTATGTTGATGTTGTATTGCTGCATTATTACCTATTATCTCTTGAAAACATTTTAATTGACTTTGCAAGCACTAAAAGGTACAAAAGTAGATTCATGGGGCGGTGGATTTGGGGCAGATTTATTGCAAGAAGGTGTTAATTACATAGTTAGAAATAGATTGATGTTAAGGTGGCACAGTCGTGTGTGGTGTTGCTCCCCTCCTATCTAATAACTGGGGCTTCACTGGCTCTCTAATTACTGCTAGCAGGGCTTTTAGATTTACCCTCACAATTAGAGGAGAACATGGTTACTGTCCAATTTGGCCCCTGTTCCCCCTCCCCCTGTTGGCCATCCCCACCCCTTGTAAGAGAGAAAAGGCCTTCGTCAGCTGCAGGGCTGTGTTATGAATTTCAAGCCATATGCTCACATCCTGGGAAAGGAAGAAATTAGGCTGAGAGCCAATATGGATGTACTTGCATGGTGTGTGTCTGCATGGGTTTGAATAAGAGAGAGGCTGAAAAGGAAGGGACAGAAAAGGGTGAGGAAAAAAGGAGGTGTTGAATTAAGTTATGTGGGATAAATGGAAAAAGAGAGAAAATTACATGTGACATGTAAGAAAAATGGGTCCCACCCAAGCTAGATGTGTGTGTTTACGTCTTTTACACCTAGCAGTGTGATTATGTAAGTGAAGTTGCTTTGCTGAGAAACGGAGACTTCCATGTTTGTTTCCAAAGCAGGCCACTCTCTGCCAAAACCTTTTTTTTTCTCCCTGTTTGGACCTCTCACTCACTCTCTCACTCTTTCTCTTCCTTTCTATTGTGTTTGTTGTTTTATGAAGGGGTTAGATGCGGTCCAGATTTCTGTTGCCAATAGAGACTGTCTCAGTTCACCTCCAGTTGCTCGCCACTCCATTCATAAACAAATCACTCCAGCTGGGGACCCCTGAGCTGCTATCGAAGAACAACAAGCAGAACCCAACCTGCGTCTCGATGTTTTCACCCTCTGTCTATTCTCTTTCTCCCTTCACTTCTTTTTTTTTTTCAAACTTCCCTCTATTGCTTTTTGCTCAACTCCCACTCACAATTCCCTCCCTCCTCTCTCTCTCCAACTCACTCTTACTCTAGCTTCAGCAGGGCCGGACCTCTAGTTCTCTCCTCTGTGTGAATCTGTCAGGGAAGCAGTGTGTATGTGCGTGCGCATGTCTCCATTGTGAACACTTATTTTTAAACTTACAGCACTCTTTGGGAACGGTGGGCCAGCTTTTTCAGAGTGTGGGAGAGGAGAGGGGACCCCCGTGGTGCTGTGATTTGACTAAACAAACAGCCGGGCTCAGAGTGGTACCTCCTCTGGCAGACTCCCGGGACAGCAGAGATTAACCTCAGACTCTGAACATCTGAGGGATCTATACATCTGAGGCAGCAGTCCCTGTAGACAACCAGCTGGACATCTCTCCTCTGATTTCAGAAGGAGGACCGACTGCAGCAACCTCCAGCAACCTCCTCGGACAGAGAGGGAAGATTTGTCTATGCTTCTGGGATCACCCTGAAGGTAAG